GTAGTGAAGATGATGATCAAATTAACTTGTTTTTCAATTTAAACATATATTGTGTTTATTATAGCTTATTATCATAACAATACATCCATATGTAATACATTATTATTGTCATTAATTATCAGATATCAATAAAATTTTTAAATAAATACAACCTTTTTTTTACAACTATTATAATCACATTTTTTATTAAGTAGTATTTAATATTCTACATCTTTTGTTACAATTACTATAATCACATTAATGAATAACCCATTACATGGCGTTACCTTGGTAAGCCTTGTACTCAATAAAAGGGCTCGGCTTGGTAAGGCATTGCCTCAATAATAGGGCTACCCTTGGTAAGCTTTGTACTCACTGCATACCCTCGTTACTATGGTAACCATTGGTTAGGCTTGGTAAGGCATTGCCGCCATTGTGGGGCGTACCGACCCCCGGGGTGAGTGGTAGGCTTGGTAAGCCATTGCCTCAATAATAGGGGTACCCTTAGTAAGCTTTAGTAACTATGGCAACCACCAGCTAGGCTTGGTAAGGTTTAGTTACTATGGCAACCATTGTGTAGGCTTGGTAAGGCATCTCCGCCATTGTGGGGCCAACGGCACCTAGGGACCGTGTTTAGGCTTGGTAAGGCATTGTTCTAATAATATGGGTACCCTTGGTAAGCCTTGGTAACTATAACAATCATTGTATAGGCTTGGCAAGGCTATATCACGAGACTAAGGTGAACCGACCGTTAAGGTCAACCGACCGTTTACTACTGACATGGCTTTCCTTCAGAATTGGTCTCAAGATGTTGTTTGGGAAATATATAGCCATTAGTGTAGGCATTAATCGGATGATAGATTCTACACCAGTTGTCGTTGAAAGCAATGCTCTTCTGTTTGCGAAACCAATAGTTGGCGCAAAACTGGAACTGTTTTGAGACTCTTTCCAAACCAATCAACTCATCGATAGTCAGATATAAGAAGATCTCAATCACTAGATCTCTAATCGTGAAAACTTTTTCGTAAACTGTTTTGTCTTTTTTATCACTCATTTCTTAACAAATTTAAAAACATTTTTCTTATGTTGTATTTATAAATATATTTGAATCAAACTTTTCAATTTGAAATATTTTATTTTATTTAATAACGGGTTTTGAATTCAATAGTTGTTATGTTACGCGTGTTATTGTTATAATCAGTAATTTTATCATCAATTGTTACTCTAATGATATAAACGGATATTTAAGTGAAACTATTTGAATGAGAAAAATATTTGTAACATTTTTATAAATATTTTGTAACCAATGGAAAAACATATTATGAATGTCTTAAATGATGGATTAAATTAAATATATAATATTATTACAAATATTCAATTAATAATTTATTAGTTTTAGATTTATTTCATATTAAGTTTCAAAAAATAAATTAATTAAAATTGAAAAAATTATAAATTTATATAATTTTTACAAAATTCCACAATAGTTAGACATTTTATTACAAACTTTTACAGATTTTTAAATTTCTGGGTATTTGTCGCTCAATAGTGAGATCTCCGGTATTGTTGTGAACACAGATTGTGAACCATTTCTTGGGGTCTATTGAATACCAATCCATGAAATCAGTGATGAATTTGATGCAAATTTTATTATATTTGTTGAAATAGGAATGACTATAAAAATCGATATAAATGGCCGATAAATTGTGCATTTCATTGAGTTCTTTACACAAAACGGCTGTCTTTTCATTCAAATCTTTGTAAAAAAGAATCAGTGTTTGTATTTCTTTGTGTTTTCCAATTAAATAATACATTTGCCCAAAACATGTCAAACAATGCGATCCATTCACAGCACAATCAATATATGTTTCGTTTAGGGCAAGTGTTTTTAATTTTGGGCAACTTTTCAATAAGCATTCAAATGCCTCCGATTTCATTGAACATACTTTTAGATCAAGAGTTATGACATTTGGGAATTGCACTGATCTTCTCGTGTAGTTATAGTCATCGAAATGTTGCCGATAGAGACCCAAGTATTCGAGAGTTGTCTGTGTTTTGGCTACTTTTTGTAGGTTTTGCCATTGCGTCGACATATTCTTCAAATCATATGACAATGCTTTCAGTGCCATACCATTGATAATCAGATCCAGTGCCTCATCGGTTAGTACACTGCCGTTAAGATATAAATACTGCAAATTCTTTGCTTTACTTTCCAATAATTTTGTGACCAATTCGTTGTCAATTGTAATCTTATAATTGGATCCGATGTCCAATGATTTCATACTATTCGGAATAAATTGAAGAATCTGTTGAATATTTTCACGTATTTCAAAATCTATATTTAATTTTGTCAATCCTTTTATTTCTCGAATCATTTCAATTATATTCTCCGAATGAATGCTACAATAGTTTGCAGCAAATTGTGTGACTCTTCCCGACAAGAGTTGTCCCAATTGTCGGAACTGTTGAGCCGTGAACTCATCGCAACCGCATATGAATAAGCATTTAATAGATTGAAATGAATCGAGAATATCATAAAATGTCTGAAAGTTGGTCTCGAAGTGACTGATCGCCAAATACTTAACGTTTGGTAACTTCTTTGATAACCAAATAATCCTTTGTTTGTTTGCCATAAGACATGGCTTTCCGTCCGAATGGGTCTCAAGATATCGATTGGGAAAGACATATGACTTTGGGATCACATCTTTTGGCCGATACTGATTGCCACTAATGTTTGTGTTGAAAGCAATTGTCTTCTGTTTGCGGAACCAATAGTCGGCGCAAAACTGGAACTCTTTGGAGACTCTCTCCAAACCAATCAACTCATCGATAGTCAGATATGAGAACATTTTTATCACTAAATCTCACTTTAGCACTCATTTTAAATCAAATTCAGAAATAGTTTTATATAACTGTAAATATATTTGAATTAAATATTTCAATTTTAAACATGTCATAATTATTAACTGTTTTTGAATGACATAACAATATAATTGATGAATTTGTGATTAATTTAAAGATTAATAATTTTTATTATTTATTGCATTTAAACTTATATTTTAGTTACAATAATTAATAAAGTGATATAGATTTGTACTCATCTAATGGATAAATTGTCAAATGGTATGTTAAAAGTAATTAATAAATACACGTAAAATTAATGTCTTTTATGTATTATTCTTTTATCATTAAAATTTTTAAATCTATGTAAATATTTAATTAATTTTTCTTTCTAAACATTTATTAATAAATAAACATTTAAAACATTGAAATATTGATATACAATTTTAGAAATGGGTTTTAATAACTAATAAATAACTATTAATTCAGTGCTATTAATGCAGAATTTTTCTAATTCTCAAATTTCTCGGTATTTGTCTCTCAATAGTAAGATCTCCGGTATTGTTGTGAACACAGATTGTGAACCATTTCTTCGGGTGAAGTGAATACCAATCGATTAAATCAATGATCAATTGTCGGCAAGTATTTGTATAATTTACAAGATTAGGATCACTATCGAAATTAACATAAATGGCCAATAAATTGTGGAACTCATTGAATTGTTTACACAAAACGGCTGTTCTCTCCATCAAATCGTAATAATTAAGAAACAAATGTTGTATTTTCGTGTTTTTTGCCACCAAATAATACATTTGCCCAAAACATGTCATACATTTGTAAGTAATGATATCACAAGCAATTTCTGTGCCCTTTAGACCAAGTGTTTTGAGTTTTGGGCAACTTTTCAATAGACATTCAAATGCCTCTGATTTAAATTTGCAATAATTGAGACAAAGTGTTACCACATTTGGGAATTGTAATGATCTTCTCGTGTAGTCATAGTCATAGAAACATTGATAATATAGACCCAGATATTCGAGATTAGGCTGTTTTTGGGCCACTCTTTGCAAACACTGCCATTCAATTGAATTGTTTACAAAGAAATATGAAAATCCTTTTAACGTCACATTATTTATAATAAGATCCAATGTTTCTTCATTTATGGCATCATTTGTGAGATATAAATACTGCAAATATTTTGCGTTATTTTCAGATGGATTTATGACAAATGCGTTGTCAATTGAAACGATAAAACTGGACCCAAATTTTAGTGATATTATACTTTTTGGCAATACATTGAATAATTGCGATACGGTTTGTTGCGAAACTATATGTATAACTAAATTATTCAAACTTTGTATTTCTCGAATCATATCAATTACTTTTGGTGAATAAGTATCGCAACAGTTTGCCATAAATTTAGTAACTCTTCCGGATAATAGTTGTCCCAATTGTGTGTACTCTTGGGCTGTGAAGTCACACAAACCACACATTTCTAAGCATTTGATTGATTGAAACGCTACGAGAATATCGTATAATGTCTTGTAATCAGTGTCGAAGTGACCGATTCCTAAGTATTCAATGTTTGGCAACTTCTTTGACAACCAAATAATTCTTTGTTTGTTTTGTATAAGACATGGCTTTCCATCAGAATTTGTCTCAAGATATTGTTTGGGAAATGTATAGCAATTAGTGATGGCATCAATTGGATGATAGATTCCACACCACTTCTCGTTGAATGATATTGTCTTCTGTTTTTGGAACCAATAGTTGGCGCAAAACTGGAACTCTTTGGAGACTCTCTCCAAACCAATCAACTCATCGATAGTCAGATATGAGAACATCTTTATCACTACATCTCTATTTGCGAAGACTTTCTCAAAAATTTTCTTCTTATTTTGAGCACTCATTTTGAATCAAATTCAGAATTACTTTTATATAACAGTAAACATCTTTGAGTGAAATATTGAAATCTTAAACATTGTGTTAAATTGATTAACAATTTTGAATTTCATTTAGTAATTGTTGTATTCATTACTTATTTTAAAAGTTATTCTTTTAATTTATTAAATATAAAGCAAAATTCAATTGATAACAATAATTGATGTATTAATCATAATTTATGATTCATAAATAAAGTATGTCGTGTGAGTGTCGGGTCAGCATAAGTTATACACACATTTAATGTCATAAAACCCTGTGTTATATTTTTAATAATTTTTATGGTATTTTATCAATTTATAAAATAAATCAATAATTAAAAAAATATATTAACAAAATAATTAATTTGTAAATTAAGCAAGTAAAATATAATTGCCCGACTGCAACTTATCCAGAACATCATCAATATGTTTCAATCGACGATTGCACCATGATACAAGTGCCGAGTATCGATCATTTAAGTTACTTAGAAAATACTTGTACGCATTCACGTACACCGGGTCCACAATATCGGTCAACTCATATAGCTTTTGGCCGCACCGGTCGACTGTACGCCCGAAATCATCAATCGCCCGCTTTTCAGCCCTACATTTGTCGGCAGCGATTCTCAAAGACACCAAATCTTGATACCCGAGTGCAGAGATCCTATCGTCCATCTCATCCACCACTCGTATACACTCCTGGAGCTGATCAATGGTCGGGTATTTGTCCATAAGTGTCTGTCGGGCGCCGGGAGACCGACGTTGGGCTTCGGTTAGTTTGGCCACCAATGGGACCAACACTTGGGTTCCGAACTGGTCTTTAATGCTCTCCATTCGTTGGCTCACGTGTTGTACCCGATCGTTGAGTTCCTCAATAGTAGCCGTACTGTATCCACCTTTGCGTAAGGTTTGCACATCAGTGCGCATATCGTCCACCCATACAGCCATCTGTAGCTTCACTTGTGTCACTTCAACGCCGATATCATCGGTATTGACGGTTGTGGTCATAGGGTTTAGCTGTTGAACCCAAACCTCTTGGGCGGCCACGTGTTCCCCGATGTCATCCAAAGCCAAATCGCATCGCATTGTGTCCGCCGCTAGGCTTTCGGCCACACTATCCATGGACTCAGTCTTAAAGAGTAGGCATTCGTAGAAAAATGTATTTTCGTTATATTTTAGTTTGTTTAGCATTTCATTAAATTCCTGTTTGTTTGATGTAATCATGGTTTTAGCGATAGACCACTGGTTATGGGCGTCGAGCACTTGTCCACTGGTCGGCCGTTTATCGACGATATTCTCAGTCAATGACATCAGGAAATCTTGCAAATGATTGAATTGAGTGTAAAATGCGGACGAATTGTTTGGATGGCAATCGCTGTATATTGTAATTACAAACATATGAGTTATTATTTAAAACATGGTAAAATATTTTTAGAATACATACTCGTTGTATATATCAAATAATGTCATACCAATACCTCCGACACTATAAAGGTCTGCTTTAGTATCATATGTATTACCAGAATGGACTTCCGGTGCCATATATTTGGGAGTCCCCGCCCCCCGAGTGTGGCATTTGGATGTACGGCTGTGGACAGTAGCCAAACCAAAGTCACCTAACTTTACAAATGTATTTTTATGTCTACTGTATATAATAAATATATTGTCAGGCTTTAAATCCCGGTGAATGAATGGCGGGCTCTGTTCATGTAGATATCGCACGCATTCTAAGAGTTCCCGAAATATTTCACAGCAAATGAAATACTCGTAAATATTCATGGCTTCAGCCGATTGTCTGCCAAACACTTGTTGTTTGTCTCGGAGTACAGACGCGAGTGTTTGCGAGCAGTACTCCATCTGAATGTAGAGTTGTTTGCCTTCAGTCCACGAGTTCTCGTATTTGACCACAAAATCTGAATCCAAATTTTTCAGATGTTCCACTTCTATCATCATTTCCTTTTCCTCTTTATTGTCTGTTATATTATTGCAAATATTTATAAGATTTTAAAAGTTATTATATAATTATTATTTACCTTCAAATTGAACTTTTTTAACGGCATATATATTGTCATCCAATGTATGCCTCACTTTAAATACAGTCCCAAAAGTACCCGAACCAGCGATCGAGAGTTCAGTGAACTCGTTGTTAGAAATGCTATTCATTTCGTTTACATTAATTGTTTTATAAGTGATTTGGCATTCATTGGCGTAAAAATCGTCGAAATTTTTATAATTTATTTCAATTAATTCTTGTTTTTCTGTAATTTTATTAATCTTATCGTTGAGTGAAACACAAATAAATTTATTGGAAATAAATGAATTTATTTGTTGTAAATCTTCAAAACGATTTGTCGATAATATGTGTCTCGGGTTTTGTTCAATGGTTTCAATACTATTTTCGTAATGTTTTCCACAAAAATATAGAAACCCTTTGAATGTCAGGAAATATATGCCATAAAAACTACAACAAATTGACTTCACGTCAGTTATAGTAGATATCAATTGAGGTTTAAATAATCGGTTATCAGGTTTATTGTGTTCCAATTCATGGCCTCTATTGTCGCCCCAACTGAAGACTTGTCTGTCGGATGTGATGGCAAACGACGAGTCATAACAACAATAAATGGATTCAATTTTAGCTTTGGTACTAAATTGTAACTCAAATGGTGTACAAATTAATTCAGCATTATTTCCACAACCAATTTGTCCCCAACTGTTGTCACCCCAGGCATACACCCGGCCATTGCTATTGAGCGCCAGTGTGTGACGAGTACCGCAACTAATTGCAATAATATCTTTATCATTGAAATATGATATTAGTTTTGGTTTTCGATATTTGGCATCATGGTTAAACATTTTAGATAAGCCAGACTTTTTGTCCATGGCCAATTGCACCCGTGCGTTACAACCCATACCGTATATCCTATTCTTATCACTTATTGCTAATATAAAATCCAATCCATTGACAAAGTATTGTATGTTTTGATGACATAATTGTGGTATTATTTCCGGTGATAGTATTGGCCGGTTGTGTCCCAAACCCAGATAGCCGTTATTATTATTACCTAAACCATAGACCAGATCAGCATTTGTTATAACCAAGGCATTTATAATAGATTTATCAAATTTATTAAATTTTTTAAAATCACAGAAAACATGTAATTTTAAAATGTTTTCTTTAATACTTTTTGGAATTTTAGCACAAATTTTTATTTTCTCTAATATTTCACTCATTTTAATAAAATTATATTTTACTAATTGTAATATATAAATATTTTTAAAATAATTAAGTGATTTATGATAATAAAATCATATGAAATGAATAACACTTCAATAAATCGTTTAAGTTTAATATAAGTTGTAATAATCAATGAAATAATTAATATATACATTAATGTATTGCCAATTATTTGATAATATCCATAGTTATTATCAGCGAATTCCAAAGTGGCAGAATAGTGGAAATCTTATTACAAATTGTGCACATTATTCATACACTATTCATACAGACAATGTAAATAAACGAGTACGTTTATAGTGAGTAATATTTGGAAATTACCTAGGTCAAACAATAACCACGTTCACATAATAAATGTCCCCTCTCTATTTTGGAATGGCCTGGTTATTATTATTTATATTATTTAATACTTATAACCAGCATGACTAATTATAAGAAATATTTTATTAAGTTATACATGGTGATTGATGATTAATTATTGAGTGTAATGGGAAAATATGCAGTATGCTTATTTAATAAAACACAAACTAAAATATATTTTAACAGTTGTTTATTATAGTTAATTGCAATTAATTAAACAGTTGATAAAAGAACAATGTCAAATATATTTCTTTATAATAAAATAAAATATATTTTTAAAATTTCACAAACCTAAAAGTACTGGGGTACTTTTATGTAAAATTAGTAAGGTCTAACATAATAGTTGCCCGTCTGTATCGTAGCAAGGAACTCGTCAGTATATTTCAGCTTACGAGCTGCCCATTCAACGAGCGCCCCGTATCGAGCATTTAGGATATTTAGAAAATACGAGAACGCATTCACGTACTCCTTGTCCACAATATCGGTCAACTCGTATAGCTTTTGGCCGCACCGCTCGACCGTACGGCCGAACTCGTCGATTGCCTGTTTTTGTGCCCGACATTTGTCGGCCTTAATTATCAACGCCGGCAAATCGTAAGCCTGTCCGAGTTCTGAGAGCCTATCTTCCATCTCTGCCACCTGTCGTATACACTCCCGGAGCTGATCAATGGTCGGGTATTTGTCCATAAGTGTCTGTTGGGCGCCTGGAGACCGGCGCTGGGCTTCGGTGCGTTTGGCCACCAACGGGACCAACACTTGTGTCCCGAACTGGTCCTTAACGCTCGCCAATCGCTGGCGCAGGTGTTGTACCCGATCGTCGAGTTCCCCGACGTTAACCTCACTGTTGCCACTCTTGCTTAAAGTTTGGACATCAGTTTGGAAAGCGCTCACCAAATGATCCACTCGTGTCAGTTCAGCCCCGATATCATCGGTGTTGAAGTTTGTGGTCAATGGGTTCCGCCGTTTGACCCGATCCTCTTCGGCGGCCACGAGTTTCCTGATTGCATCCAATGCCGAATCGCATCGCTGTGTTTCTTCCGCGAGGCTTTTGGCCACTCTATCCGTGGACTCAGTCTTAAAGAGTAGGCATTCGTAGAAAAATGTGTTTTCGTTTGATTTGAGTTTATTTAGGATTTCATTGAATTCCTGTTTGCTTTCGGTAATCACGTGTTTGTCGACAGACCACTGGCTATAGTCGTCGAGCACTTGACCACTGGTCGACCGCTTATCGGCAATACTCTCAGTCATTGACGTCAGAAAGTGTTGCAAATTATTAAATTGTTCGCAAAATGTGGTCGACTTATATCGTTGGCAATCACTGAATGCAAACACAAAAATATACGTTAATATTTAAATCATGGTTAAATATTCTATGAATACATACCCTGTATTTACATCAAACAATTTCATACCAATAGCACCCACACTATAAATGTCTGATTTAAGACCATATTTATTATGGGAATAAGCTTCCGGGGCCATATATTTGAAAGTTGCCGCCCCCTGTGTCTGGCTTTTAAATGTGCGACTATTGACAGTAGCCGAACCAAAGTCACCAAGTTTTACAAACGTGTTATTACCACTAGTGTACGAAATCAGTATATTGTCGGGCTTTAAATCCCGGTGAATGAAAGGCGGGTTCAGTTCGTGTAGATAACGGACGCATTGCAAGAGTTCCCGAAATATTTCGCAACAAATGAAATACTCGTAGAGATTCATGGCTTCAGCCGATTGTCTGCCAAACACTAGTTGTTTGTCTCGGAGTACAGACGCGAGTGTTTGCGAGCAGTACTCCATCTGAATGTAGAGCTGTTTGCCTTCAGTCCACGAGTTCTTGTATTTGACCACAAAATCTGAGTCCAATTTTCGCAGATTTTCCACTTCTCTCATCATTTCCTTCTCCTCCATATTGTCTGTTATATTATTGCAAATATTTATCAGAATTAAAAAAAAATAATAATTAATAGCTTAAACCCTATTGTCATTTACCTTCAAATTGTACTTTTTTAACCGCATATATATTATCATCCAATGTATGCCTCACTTTAAATACCGTTCCGTAAGCGCCCGATCCGGCGGTCGAGAGTTCAGTGAACTGATTGTCGGAAATGCTATTCATTTCGTTTACATTAATTGTTTTATAAGTAATTTGACATTCATTGGCGTAAAGATCGGCAAAATTTTGATAATTTGTTTCAATAATTTCATGTCTTTCAGTGATTTTATGGATTCTGTCGTTCATTAAAATACAAATAAATCCAATTTTATTGAATATAAATGAATTTATTTGTTGTAAATCTTCGAAACGATTCGCGGATAGTATTTGTTTCGGCTTTTGTTCAATGATTTCAATTATATTTTCGTAATGTTTGCCACAAAAGTATAGAAACCCTTTGGATGTCAGGAAATATATGCCATAAACACTACAACAGATTGACTTCACGTCAACTATGGTTTCAATCAATCGGGGCTTAAATACTCTCTTATCGGTTATATTGTGTCCCAATTCGTGGCCTCTATTGTCGCCCCAACTAAACACCTGTCCGTCGGATGTGATGGCAAACGACGAGTCATAACAACAATAAATGGATTCAATTATAGAATTATTACTGAATTGTAACTTAAATGGTGTACAAATTGAGTCATTGTTATCCCCGCAACCGATTTGACCCAAATTGTTGTCACCCCAGGCATAAACCCGGCCATCGCTGGTGAGCGCCAGTGTGTGATTAGTACCACAACTAATTTTAATAATATTTTTATCATTCAAATATGTTATTAGCTTAGGTTTTCGATATTTTGCATCATGGTTAAATAAGCCAGACTTTTTCTCCATAGCCAATTGTCGCCGTGCGTTACAACCCATACCATAAATATAATTATTTTCATTTACTGCTAATACAAAATCCAATCCATTGACAAAGTATTGTATGTTTTGATGACATAATTGTGGTATCTTTTCCGGTGATAGTATTGGCCGGTTGTGTCCTAAACCCAGACATCCCTTACCATTATTGCCCAAACCATAGACCAGATCATCATTTGTTATAACCAAAGCATTTAATGATTTATCAAAATCACAGAAAACATGTAATTTTGACATTTCTTTTCTAATATTTGCTGGAATTTTAGCACAAAATTTTATTTTTTCTAATAATTCACTCATTTTGCATAATATAATATTTTAATATAACTACTTTTAATAAATTAATATTATATAAACAGTTATGTGATTTAAGATAATAAAATTACCTTGAACATATAACACTTATATACAGCAATTTATAATAATGAAAACTATTGAATACAGATTTAATAAAAATAATAGATATACTGTGTAATACTTTATTTGATAATATTCATGGTTATTATTATTAACTACAAATACTAATAACCAATAAGATTTTAAGTTTACGTAATCTGTTATTCAGAAATTTTATTTCTCACGGACTATAACTAGAGTTGCCAGACCCCCAGCAATTAGAGAATTCAGGAATTGAACAGTTTCTCCAGGAAGGGGTCATTCCTGTAGATATAAAAGTCCATGAATTATTTTTACTACAATATAAATATTTCATAAAACCTTAGTTTACAAACTGTATTTATGCATTTCTGTAATTATGTGTTGTAAATGGGGGGAAATATGAACTTTATCTAAAGTATCTAATATTAATGATTTTTGATAAATTAAGTTATCGAGATATTGTGATAATTACTTAAATGAATTCTCCCAAAACTTCATTTAACTCGTATTTTAGTTAAGGAGAGGATAAACAAACAAATAATAATTGATGTATTAATATATTTAGCTATAAAGTTTCTCTGGAAATTTACTAGAAATTTGTGTAAAAAATTAACTAAACTTCAGGATTTGAGGAAATATTCCTGGCAACACTAACTATAAATGATAAAGCCTGTAAATATTGAATTACGTGCTTCATAAGCACTGATTAGGGGTGATTCGCAAATTACGTTCGCACTTTGGGGGAGGGGGGGG